AGTTAATATGTCAATATATGTGTATTAGAAAACCAAGAAAGATTCAGCATTTCTTAGCAAGCTTTGTACTTGCATGGATTCTTCCCTCTTGCCTTGTTTCTCTTTCTTTCTTTGCTTTGGTGTATGTATGTATGTGTTTATTTATCTTTTTTTTTTTTTTTTTTTTTTGAGACGGAGTTTCGCCCTTGTTACCCAGGCTAGGAGTGCAGTGGCGTGATCTTGGCTCACTGCAACCTCCGCCTCCCGGGTTCAGGCAATTCTCGTGCTTCAGCCTCCTGAGTAGCTGGGATTACAGGCACGCGCCACCATGCCCTGCTAATTTTTTGTATTTTTTAGTAGAGACGGGGTTTCACCACGTTGTACCAGGATAGTCTCGATCTCTCGACCTCGTGATCCACCCGCCTCGGCCTCCCAAAGTGCTGGGATTATAGGCTTGAGCCACCTACGCCCAGCCTTGTATGTGTTTATTTATCTGGCAAAATTCAGGCTTCCTTGGTGTTTATGTTTTTGCATGACAGACCAAGCCGAAAACTTAATGGCTTAAAACAAATGAAGATGTATTATTTCTCAAAATTTTTGTGGTGTTTTCTCTGCTGCTTTCACCTGGGTTCACTCATTCAGCAGTATTGCACTGAATCAGCTGAGCTAAAAGGAAATGTGAGAAGCACTTGTCTCTGGCTATCAAGGGGGCACATTGTTTTCCCTCCACATGGCTTCTCACCCTCCAGTGTACCAGGCCAAATTCTTTACATTGCAGTTGTAAGATGTGCAAGACTGAAGGCTGAATCTGCAAGGCTTCTTGAAGCCTAGGCCCAAGAACTCTATACACTTCACATTCCATTGGTCAAACAAATCATCAGTCCAGCCAAAAATCAAAGGGTGGGGAAATAAATTCTCTTGATTAGAAGAGCAGTTAAGATCAATTGCAAAAGGGCACACTACAAATTTATGCCCTTTTATCAGTCTATCCCAGTGAGGTTTTATATTACTGGGGTTAATTTCACAATAGGCGATTAGTCTGTTGTCATCACAGAATGTTTGAAGTCCTCTTAAATGAGTCATGTCAACTGTTTATCTGGCTACAAGATGAATGTAAGAAATAGACTGTCCTCAACATTTTTTCATGTTATGAATGCTAGTCTGCTATATGCATATTTTTGGGTTCAAAGTGACATAAACACACACACACACACACACACAAATATTCATAGCATAGAACAGTTTGGACTGATGTATTTTTCAGTATTATCCAAATGTCGAATTTTTCTTTTTGTTTTTTGAGACACAGTCTTGCTCTTGTCACCCAGGCTGGAGTGCAGTGATGTGACCTCTTTTCACTACAACCTGTGTCTCCCAGGTTTAAGCAAATCTCCTGCCCCAGCCTCCTGAATTACTGGCGTCCACCATCATGCCTGGCTAATTTTTGTACTTTTAGTAGAGACAGGATTTCACCATGTTGGCCAGGATGGTCTCGAATTCCCAACCTCGTGATTTGCCTGCTTTGGCCTCCCAAACAGTTGGGATTCCAGGCATGAGCTGCAGTGCCTGGCCCTAATGTTTTTATAAAGTGTACGAAGATGGTATTCATTAGTTTTATTTAATATTTCTCATCACATCAGTTTCTTTCTATAGCATTTGAGATATTAGATATAATATTTTTATAAAGATAAAATAAACACCATTCTAAATAAAATTATATTATTGTAATATAATGTTTGCTCTATTAGTTTTATTTAATATTTTTCATCACATCTATTTTCTTCTATAGCATTTGAAATATCAAATTAGATACAATATTTTTATAAAAGATAAAATAAACACCATTCTAAATAAAATTTTAGTCTCAATGAACTATTATTAACACTATGTTATCTACTATCTGTGTGATACCACTCATATTTCCATAGATAGAACAATTACTTTGTACTTTGGGCTTATCGTTTCCATGCTTTTTAAAAAAACTGTAATTTTTCAAATGTATTGTTTTTGTTGCCTGTACTCATATCCATTTCTAGTCCTGTAAGTGGTTCACTGTTGACAATACATACCTATCTGTTCTCTAGTGTTGTTTCTAGGTTTTTCTATTGCAATGCTGCAATAAAAATTCACGTATACATCTTCTAGTGCACGTTGCACACATGTAGAGTTTCTCTAGTTTCTAGAGCTAGATGGGAATTGCTGGATTACAGCACATGGGCTTGTTTAAATTCCTTAAGATGATGCCAAATTGTTTTCCAAGTGATTATAAAATTTACCACTATCAGAGTATACATTTCCTCACCAAAACTTTCAGATTTCTAACCTATTGTCCACTTGGGAAATTCAGTAGTATCTCATTGTATTCCTAAGTACTGTTTTCTGTTTACTGTCGAAGTTGATCATTATTTAATGTTTATTGGCAATTTGTGTTTCCTTTCCTGTGATTCTTTTGGTACCTTTGATCCATTCTAATCAGTTGTTGTTGTTTTCTTTTTCTTGATTTGTAGAAATTCTGTATATGATGATAATATCAGTTCTTTGTCATTTATGTTTATTGAAAGTATCTTCTCTCAGCTTGTACTTTGTCTCTTCACCCCTGGACTGAATGCGAATGGATTTTATTTCCACAGAATAATTCCATACAATACAATACAATACTCCCCTTTATATATGAAAAAGGTACTATTATACTATCCATTATTATTAATTCAGATAAACTTTTTTTTCCATATTGTGCTGATATATCCAGCTACAATTCCTCCTATAACAACCAGTATACATTTATACAACTTCTGGGCAGGGTGATGAAAACTGGCTATAATTATGCAAAAATATTAAGCTAATGTATCATTTGAATTAATTCCATGATCTCAGCTTCTTTAGGAAAATTTACTATTTTAAGTGCACAGATGATGATTTTCTCTATTCTTGCATAGGGGAGAGTGTTTACACTTAAAATTAATCCCAAATTCACCCTACCTTATATCAACATTGCTGAAACATTGGAAAATCTCCTATGTTCATGGCACTATGTTAGTGAGTATATGAATCTTCTCTTCAATAGGCCAAATATTAGTCATTTTACCTGTTCATTAGCCATGTGTAAGTTAGTATAAGCCACTTCTCCCTAGGTCATAGTTCCAGATTGTATCCCTTTTATATTCTATAAATTAACCTATTTGAAAATTACCTTTATGTAATATATGAGAATATAATCTATAGGATATAATCTATTTTTATTTTTAGAAAAAAATATAAGATTCAGGAAATAGCATAAAACATGTAAACATTGGGGTTACTAGCAGATCCACTTTTGATATTTTTGTTTTAATATAATAAAGATTTGCAAGTGTTCTTCTTCCTTTACTTCTAACTCAATTTGAGTAAACTGCCACTTTAAAAATTGTTTTCTTTCACTTATTATCCTTATAAATATTTTCAGAATGTAAGGATATAATCTTTTTCAAGATGTATCATTACCATCACATGCAATTAACAAATTTTTACCCTTCCAGGTCCTATGAGGAGAGCATTATATATGTCTCATTCACGATGTACATCTATCTCTCATGAACATGTTGTTTATTATTCTGCAATGGTACATAGAAAATAACTGATGGACTGAGTTGTGGGCTAGCTAAGTTGAGGTTGAAAATAAGCCATTTGGGGTGATTTATTTATGATCTCCTTTAAGAAAAATATTGTCCTCTTCCTGTATTCCTCGTAAAAATGATCGGGTTTTCTATCCATGAGCAACAAAGTACTTGGAAGTAAAATTAAGCAATATTAGAATACAGTATTGCTTTTCTGCTTTATAAAAGGAGAAACATTAGTTTTGACACAGTAAATTGCAAATTATCACATGAAATTTTCCAAAATGTATTGGCTTTGTATGGGATTTTAAGATATTAAATCCACATCTAAGAATAATACATGATAGTTTTCTATGCATCATCTTAAAACAATTAAAAATGAAAAGACAAAAATGTAGCTTATATTCTTACTCACCTATCCCTTCTCTTGTATGCTCTTATTTTTAAGTACCAACACAGGCATCTAAGTGCAGTTGCTTTTGCAAATAATACATTTTGTTCAAGTAGATGTCATTTTCTATCTGTTCACTGTTTTTTTATGCATTTTAATATTACATATATTTTGAGCTACACTAATTCTACATATTTCTGATTCTCACATACGGTAATCATCAGAACACAGGTGTTTTCAGAAAAACGTCACATCCAAAAATATATGTTTTTTAAAAAAGTATTTTAAATACTTTTTTTCTTTTAGTTTAGCTGTTTGTTGTTTCATTTAGTCTTGCTTTTGTGCTTGTTTTACTTTTGTTTGAAAACAAGCGATTCCCTGCCAAGAGTAGATCAGCTAAGCACATACATGTTGAATTTAGTTTAACATCACAAACCCTGGAATTTTGAGCGAGTTATAACATGAATACAATCCCCATTAATTACATTGTTTGGATAAAAATAGAGATTTGAGAATGTTAGAAATCTAACTTTCGGCATGGCCTGTTCCTCAATACGGAACCAGTTTCCACCCTGTTGACACATCTCTACATTTTTCATGGCTGTCCTGTTATTACCTGACTTATTCGTGGGTGTAATCTACCAATGTCAGCGTGGTGAATTACGAGGAGCAGCCTAAAGTAAACATCATTTACTCCTAAGAAATTATTTCCATATCACCCTTGGTTTTCTGCTTGGCATTTAAAAAGGAACCCTGCCCCCGTCCCACCTTTTTAAGAATAATCACCTGTCCCCCATTTGCAATAACAAAGGGCCTGCGTTTCACCCCCTCTCCTCCAAGTGTGCCGTGCGCTGTGCTGTGATTTATGACCTGCGCATCCGACACTCCCCGTGCACCAGCAAGATGGCCGCTGCCTTTGAACTACACGCCCCCAATGAAAGCAAACACAACCTGTGATTTAGAGCCATGTCAGCACGTCAGGAATCCAACACACGCACGTTCTGACTTTGAGCCTTTATTTTTGCATTGTCTTTAAGAATAGAGAAAACAGGTGAAGATCTGTACGAGGACGGATTGCAGATACTAGACAACGGCTCTAAAAGGCATCCTGCCGCTAGGAAAAGGCGCAGGGATATTTGGCAGACCGTCAGCGTCGTTTGCACCAGTACATGACAGGGACTCATTACCGGCTTGCCGTTGCCTGTAAGCTGGTTTCACTACCATCAACTGCAAGGCCAGAATGCCTGGTTCCAGATGCTCTCGCCAATTGACCGTAAAATTGCCACGCATTTCTGGCCAAGCCTGAGATTTTTAAAAGCGCCACCCCCTCCCCTCAACACCCTAACCCCCAATTCCCTCTGAAAAGCTGCTCATTATTCTTCCTTTGCCTCCTGATCTAAGAAAAAAAAAAAAAAAAAAGAAAAAGAAAAAGAAAAAAAGAAAAAAGAAAAGAGAAAAAAAACCATACTTCTGGAATCAATTAGAAATGTCTGCCCTTGATGAGGTTTGCACGTGAGTTTGGAGTTGTGAGACTGTGATAGTGGCAGCCAACAGCTGCAGTTTCAGGTGGTAAAATCTGAGAAGGAATTTTCCAGGGTTTATTTACCATCATAAAATTTTTTTAAACAGGCAAGACGTGTCGGGAAACCGTCGTATATGCCTTTGAAAGTGAAGTTAAATTTGGATTATATATTTATTTTATCCACATTGAGCAAACTGAAGATCTATGATGGGAGGATCTTTCGATTCCCTTCATAGATTGTGTCAAATGGTTATAAATACTGGAAATAAAGGTCGTCTTGCTATAGGTGAATGGTAAAAGAGCATTTGTTATTACTTCTGTCATATTAATGCTTGACAAGAGTCAAGGTTAATAGAAATCAGAACCCATCTTCTGAAGATAATGTGAATTAACAAACTGTTTATTGCACATGTTAATTTAAATGCTATTTGGGATTTATCATGTCAATATTACCCAACTCATGTTACTGTATAACAATAAATATTCCACATGATTTATAATCCATAGTACTGTTCATCTTTGTATTTTAACACTTTGTCAATGACTCTTTTAAACATTTTAAAATAATCTTTATAATATGTTCGCCTACTTTTTTTTATCTCTAGCTATATACTTATATGAGATATTTAATAAGAATTGCAGGATTTTGTTTTTACTTTTCAAAGATAGCTATTTGGTAAGCTTTCATAATTTGTTCATTTGATAAGCAGCTGTAAATTTCTTTTATGTGTCCACTTAAAATGCATTAGCTATTGTTGCATGAAAATGTCCTGAAATTCCTAAAACCAAATTGAAAAGCATAGGAACAAGTCAGCTCTCTGGATTATCACTTGGTACTTCCAGGCATTTAGACTTTTCTTTCAAGATGTGATACACATGATATGCACATGATATCCTTCCTAGATGTCTGCTTTTTCTTCTGCTGGCTAAAAATCAGAGGCAATTTTACATGTACACTTTTATTACTAGTCACTCATGCCTTTAAGAAATGCTATCAGATTCTCCTTACTCCTAAGAATCTCTATTAAATACAGAGGTTTATTCTCCTGAACTATCTCTTGCTTCTATCATCAAACTGAAATTTTAAGTATATGTTATATCTCTTTCAAGTCTTGCAACTTCTATTTACATAATGGTGGACAGGTGACTACGAAAGATTTTGTGTTTGTACCTACATACTTAAAGACAGTAGAGATAAGTTTAAATTTGCATTTTCTTTTCTTTCTTTCTTTTTTTTTTTTTTTTTTTAAGACACAGTTTCACTCTTGTTGCCCAGGCTGGAGTACAGTGGTGCGATCTCAGCTCGCTGCAACCTCTGCCTCCTGGGTTGGAGCAATTCTCCTGCCTCAGCCTCCCAAGTAGCTGGGATTACAGGCATGCACCACCACATCCAGCTAATTTTTTTTTGGATTATAAGTAGAGATAGGGTTTCACCATGTTGGCCAGGTTGGTCTTGTATTCCTAACCTCAGGTGATCTACCCTCCTTGGCCTCCCAAAGTGCTGGCATTACAGGCGTAAGCCATCATGCCTGGCCCTAAATTTGCAGTTTCATGAGGACCCTTTCTCATTATGAAGACGTTGTCCATGATTTGTTTCGTGTCTAGACTGAAGATTACTACCTGGTATAACTAAGTGAATTCAACATTTTTATCAACTGTATCTAAATTATAGTACAATTTTATTATAGTCATGTAATAACTTTAAGTAGGCTGTAGAAACTACTTAGAATACCTACTATCTCATGCATGCCACAATGAGCTAAATTTTGTTAAAGGGCATTTCTTGCCTAATAACATGCTGAGCAAAGTAACACATACTAACAACAACAAGAACAAAGAGAAACAAGACTGAACAAGGTTTAATTACCATCTCTCAAAAATAATGCCTCATTTATTCTTCTCAATGTCCTCCATATGCTCAGCATGTTATTAGTGAGCCAAACTTCCTTTATTATGATAAAATAATGAAACTATACACAGCCTTTAACAATATTCTGGAATTTATTTCCCCGTGATCAAATAGTCACAAAAAGGAAAATTTGACTAATTTGTTCATTCCTTTCCTCTGAGGTAAAATATTCGTCATGCCAGCTTTTCCTCAATATGTTCAGATCTAAGAACAAAATCCAGCTTTTTTGTAATTGAACCCATGAACAGTTCAAGCATTCTCACTTAGGAGAAAACATATCTACTCTCTCTGACTCTCAATTTGAGATTCCTTCCTAGATATCAGGTGTGACTGTAACCTCTCTAAATGTAAGAGAAAAGCAGCTCGCTATTAGAGAATTACTGCTTAAAACTCGCATCCAACTCTAATAACTTTGCTATTTAAGTGGCATCATCTTTTCTACATGCTTACATATGCCAAGGAAATTGATAGATACAGATTAAAAGCTAATGTGGATTTTTTCCATACAATTTATACTGTCTTTTATATTAACTGATTTTATAGTTGCTAAATATTTACCAAACCTCAATATTTATAAATAATTTTATTAGATTTAATTTACAGCACAAGAAGGTATAACACTATCTGACACTGAATTGGCCTATCCTTGAACAAGTATTTAAATTACTGTGATGAAATGGAGAACACCTGGACCTACCAACACAGTAATTATAAATTAACATTGTGAGGAAAGTCACTGAATTCTCAGTTTCACCATTTGTGAAATCAAGAGAATATCAGTGTTTAAGATTTCATATTGTATGTGTGATATAAAAAAAAAAGATTAAGTAAATAGTTACCACTGTTCACAGGTGATATGGTTTGGCTGTGTCCTCGTCCAAATCTCATTTTGAATTGTAGTTGCCGTAATCCCCATAATCATAGGAGGGGCCCAGTAAGAAGTAATTGAATCACCAGGAGAGGTTGCTTCCATCTTGTTCTCGTGATAGTGAGTTCTCACGAGACCTGATGGCTTTAAAAGGGGCTTTCTCCATTTCACTTGACGCTTACTTGTCTTCCTGCCGCTCTGGGAGGAGGTGCCTTCTGCCACGATTGTAAGTTTTCTGAGGCCTCCACAGCCGGGCAGAACTGTAAGTCAATTAAACCTCTTTTCTTTATAAATTACCCAATTTCGAGTATTTCTTCATAGCAGCATGAGAATGGGATAATACACTATTTGTATATTAGTTCACTTAGAATAGAATTTCTAGGAATCTGTGAGAAATGAGGGTAGGAGGTAGGTCTATGAGATTTTTTTGGTGTATGGTGTCTGAGAACATAAAAACACAAAGGAGACAATAGTGGTTGTAATTCTACCTTGCAAGAATTTAACTGCTTCTCGATGTAATCACCACCACCATGCCCCCTCACCCTATAAAGTCAACCTAAAACAAGAATAATCAAAGGAGACAAAAAACATTTTGCTTGCTATAAATCTTCTGGCAAGGTTGGAGCTTACAGTAGTTCCAGGTAAGTTAAAATAAACTCAGATAGAAGGGATCCTGGGACAAATTTGTTATTGGGAGAACACTGGATACTGAAATACCAAAGCCAGTATTTTTGATGTAAACAGCAACAGGTGTTAGAGAAGGTTCTCTGAGAATCCTTGCGCCAAGAACTAATGATAGGCCTGTATATAGAACATTTAGCCAGATGATTAAGTTATTGTCCAAGGTTGGAGCTTACAGTAGTTCCAGGTAAGTTAAAATAAACTCAGATAGAAGGGATCCTGGGACAAATTTGTTATTGGGAGAACACTGGATACTGAAATACCAAAGCCAGTATTTTTGATGTAAACAGCAACAGGTGTTAGAGAAGGTTCTCTGAGAATCCTTGCGCCAAGAACTAATGATAGGCCTGTATATAGAACATTTAGCCAGATGATTAAGTTATTGTCCAAGTGCCTATAGTAAAGGCTTTCAGAGGTACGTATTCCTTCCACATTGTTCTCATAAAGTGTTACTTATAAATCATTGAGGTGTCGCTCATAGAAAGAAGTCACAATGTGAACCACATTAGTGGTTTATAATAAGCATGTGGAAGTGTTTAATCAAAATGCATTAGGCAGCTAATTTAGAAGAATTTCGAGGTTCTATTTTCCACTTTTTTATTAGTGATACTATGTAAGAATCACGGTGCAGTTTTTTTTTTTCAGTTTGCTAAATATTTTTCAGATGATTGCCGAAGGCTATGGATAATTTTGCATGTGATTTTCATTTACTGTTAAACCAGCCAAAATAGTGGACTTACTTCAACCTGCAGTGGAGCATTTAGCTCTGGCTTATTCAATTATTCCATAGAAAAACCTTCAAGTGAAAAAGAGTGATGCTCTACTCATACTTAACTCTAGTAAAAGTGGACTTAAAAAACTAGATCCTCTGACTGTTCAGATACACACGTTGTGCAAATCAGAAATGGAAAGAAATTAAGCAAAGCTATAGCAAAATAATACAAATTTGAGAAGAACTGTTGCTGACTAATTATAATTGATGTCACAAGGCATTTAATTTTACTTAACATTTTCCAAATTGTTTTACTGTCTTCATACAGGTTTCTTTCATTTGATCCTGAAATCATTTTTTTTTTCTGGCAAAAGCATTTTTCTGGCTTTTTTCCTGTTGATACCTAAACAGTTTCATCCATCACTCAGCACGTTTTTACTTGGTTATCTCTGGCCAGGATCATTTTAAGTAGTATGTGTTTGACCTTAGCACTATGTTGATGTGTGCTGATGAGGGTTTCTCCCAAGGCAGAGGATATAGATGATTGAGTTCAGGTGTCCCTTGGATGTGGAGTTGAGTCATTTAGGATATGCGCCTTTTGGAGAACAGGAGACTGTGCTAAACTATTTCTTTTGGATTACATGTCAAGGGGGATTCTGTGTTCTTCTCATCTCATATAATATTACTATTAATATAAAAGGACAATGACATCATGATAAACATCAAAGCTATCCTGGAAGATCAAAAGTCACAAAAAGTAATAGGTAACTTTAGGATAATGTCTTTGAGATCAAGAGCTGAGTAAACTGTTTTTAGTAAGAGTAAAGGCAAGAAAAGTTGTAAGCAGTTGCTTTTGACATCAAGTTAGGGCTAATCTCCCATCAGTATCCTCCATCTTGTATCAAGGTGGTAATACCATATTTAATACAGTATTTATACAGACTGTAATTTAGTTTCTTATCAGTCAGCACGTTCTAGACTGAAACTCATGAGTTATAAGCTAAATACAACCTTTGGTTTTACTTTGCTTGATCTGCAGAGAGCTATTGGTAAAATTTTATAGTTTACCAACATTTTTTAATCAGGAGATTTTAAGAACTTGGTTTCATGGTTTCTCTTGAATAATTCAAAGATCTGGCCCCCCTGAGTCCACATTTCCTTGAGACATCAGTGACTTGGGGCTGAGGAAATCTTTGAGTCCATGAATTATCTTCTAAACTAGGCTTGAATTATTTTAGGTCATAAGACATCAAGTAGGATAGGAAAACAGAGATGACAGATAAGATGATAAATCCCTGTAGCTTTCAGAC